CTGCAGACACGAAGGCCGCCCTGTTCTGTAGGGACATCTAGTGGCGAGTAAAGGAGCTGCAGCTGTGATTGCCGCCTGGTGCTGTGGGGACATCTAGTGTCTATAAGAGGAACTGCATCTGAGGAGAAATAAAAAATCAAAATGTACTCGTTTGTTGTAGACAGGTTTCTGTCAGACATAATAAATCAGTATTATGATCGGTTATAAAATCATTTACTAACAGTTCAAGTTCAATTCAAGTTTATTGTCATTCACATCACATGTGATACATGAGGTTGAATAAAATTATGTACTCAGTGTCCCAGCTACACACAAAAATAGCAAAAATATAATGTGTGAAAATGAACAGTATATAACAATTTAAGAGATACACCAAGATATATGCTAAACGAATGCCAAATGGTATGCTAAAAGATATGATATACGCTAAATACTAATAATGTAAAATAATATGGTATAATAAACAGCAGCCCGATCATAAATAGGTAGAGGAAAGATCTGATGTTCAATAATCCACATTCAATGATTTTATTATGTTGTTCTGGTAAAGTAATTGTGTTTATTTTAATAAGATTTTTATGATTTGTGTTTTTAGAGCTGATTTTTGGTTTATTTAATTTGGGCTGTGTGCAAGCTGGCACTGTGGTTTGGGTGGGTAACAGAGAAGCAGCAGAGAGGAGTGTCTGCTTCCTGGACTGGACCCTGGGTTGTCAATCATTTGGATGACTAACAAAATCTGCCAAATTTCTCAAAAATAATAATGTGAATTCTGAATCAGCATTTAATTATATTTTATTTACAACTTTTGAAATCAAAGGCTGCCACAACCATGCAAACGTAGCAAACAAAAAAAAAAAGGCTGTAGGCCTATCTGTCATTTTTACAGACACTGAGCAATAAATGGGTGTGGTAGCAGCTGAGTCACCCATAACACATACATATATTGTAACAAAATTAATTTCACACATCTTTGCCACGCTTTAAATAAACAGCACCGCAGACACAGCAGATATAGAAACACTGTTACTTGTCTTTTCCCTTTACTCCCTTGTTCTAAAGTATTTTTCTTTCTTTGTGCTCGTTTTCATGTATGTGAAGTTTCATAGAAATTATGCAAAAAGTTTAAAGCAAATGTGCTCATGCAAACTTTACAGGTGCTCACAGCTGCTTACACCAGAGCTGTTCGAGGCCGGTTTGGGATTTAAAGAAGCACAATGCTGCCCACTTCCATGCACATAAAAGCAGGCTGTCAGTCTGTCTAAATATAGTTTACTTTGGCACACATTGGTCTAGGCATGGTGCATTCAGGGCCTTTAAGCAAGTCTGTTCTAAGTACTGACACAGTTAAAAATCTCACGAGCAAGTCTTGGATTGAATTTCCCCGAGTGCCTTCAGTGTTATTAATAAACAGAAAAGGCGGTTGTGTTTTTCTGGAGACACACACACACAGCAAAGAGCTACTAAAAGCAAACTCTACTCAAAGACAGAAACTTCTGAACTATTATCTTCAAAAATAAGAAAGTAAGTACAACTTATGTTGAAACTGTTGTTAATGGCAGTGCAGACAGCGGTTGATGAGTTAATCACACTAAGTAAACTAAAAAAAAAAGATGATAGAACCTTATTGTTGTGAGTTAATGTATAATGTTAGTAGATAAGTGACATCAGCTTGTTTCCTTCTTGTTTACAGCTCATCATGAGCAGTCGAAGACCAGCAGAGGATGGTAAAAACATGGAGGACGTCTCTAAACATGAACCCACCCTACACAGTTGGTTAAAGATGGACCAGGCAGGCATGAACGCTCTGGGGCAACGTTTTGAGCACTGGACCCAGCAAGTGTCTCATCTGGAGAAGCAGAGAGACGAGCTGATCCAGGAGCTGCTCGCTCTGCGGGAACCCATGCTGCAGGTGGTGGAGCTCCTCAGAGAGAAGCTGGTGGATGCACAGAGGCGGCTCGCCCTGGCTCAGCTGGATTATAAGGCTGTTCAGGTGGAAGTGCTGCAGGTGAAGAGGAAACTGTTCACCACGGCCAGAGGCTGCATCCAGAGCCAGGTGACCCTGGCAGCACAGCAGTACGAGGTGGCTCAGTCTGCTGTGACGCAGGTAACAATTTGTTTTTAAATGAAATTCTCAATAACTCAGTGAGGTAAAGGATTGATAAATAATCAGTCCATGTTAAACTGTGAATTGGTGGAATCATATCTGAAGTGATGTGCAGAGGTATGCAGCAACTCATATAAAAAATAAAAATACATTATCTACATGAACCATATTGGAGAACCGAGCCATAAAGATGGGATAATTTACTAAATCAGATAAAGGAATCATGCAAATACTTTTAAAATTCACAAATCTGATTCATTTATTGTCTGTCCAAACATATGGAGGACGGAATGTGACAAAATTAAATGAATAAATGCATAATAATGAAATGTATACAAACAGGTCTCGCTTGTAAATGAGTCTTCGAGGCTCAATGTGATTTACCCGTTTAAATAAAGGTTGAATGAATAAATTTTAAAAATCATTACAAAACCTACTCCCTGTGGCAATATATAAAAACTGCTTTCTATAGTTGTAAAAATATATAATTTCTGGGCAGAGTTGCATTTGACATTGATTAAATACAGCTAAAGCAACGCCAAACATGACGCGGTTCAAAAATTAGTTTTTTGACATAGTTCAGGGTAGGAGAGGGTCTCTGACCAGGTGACATAAAAAAAACAAAGGTGTGTATGTTTGTGTTTATGTAAGAATATGAATATGTATTTGTACGTGAACTGTGTTTTTCTCTGTTGTTTCACACCATATGCTCTTCCTGACGCAACCCATGCCTTAGGAATTGTGTATTTTTATGAATATATGTATGCATTTGTGTTTATATGTACATGTGTGAACGTACAGTATGTAAACTGCCTGCACATAAAAAGTTGCATTTAAATGTGTCCACATAAAGATAAATGCAACAATATTATAGCAAACAATGTGACAAGTCTGGGTAAAAGGAAATCAACTCATTTTTTTTCAGTTACTTCTACACATGATACAATTATATTGATCTGTGTAGAATATTGTAAACATATAGTACACGACACTGACCTGCTTTTAAATGTGCATTACTAATCCCAGGGCAGAGCTAATCTGCTATACAAGTCAAATAATTTTACTTCTAATTTACAGTCTTTTTTAACTATAAGGCGCATTAAGCAAAACTAAAACATTTTGACAGATTTTTGGGCACTATGTACCACATAAAATCAGTTCGAGGTCAGTAAGCACAACCAGAATTAATACATAAAGTGCACCGGATTATAAATCTAACTGTTGGTTTTTGAGAAAATTAAAGGTTATAGTCTGAAAAATACGACAACGTACTCTTCTGTGCCATTTTCCATTTACTTACAGGAGGAGCTGAAGGTCCACCTCCAGCATCTGACCCAGGAGTTATCCCAGCTGCAGGATGATCATCAGAACCAGCTGAACTCCATCCGGGATCAGGCCTCGAGGCCCCGCAGACCCAGGGCCATGAGCGACGTCGGCCAGTGCCGGCGGGCTTCCATCAGCCTGCAGCGGCGGCTCAGCGGCAGCGCGAGGGCCCTGGAGGGCTGGTACGAGCCTCGGCTCATGGCCCTGCTGAAGAGGAGGCAGATTGGAGAGGAATCGGTGAGGAACTGCAGGGAGCAGGTGACAGACCTGAGAGCCCGCCTGGGACCCCTGATACAGGACACGCAGAGACTGGAGATGCAGAGATCCTTTCTGGAGAGAAAGATTCAACTTATGGAAACGGAGAGGGAGGAGAGCATCGCACATCAGCAGGTACGGCTGCTCTGCAAGACGGGGAATAAGAAGCAGAGGTGTGGTGACATTTTGATTGTTCCCACAGGAGATGGAGCAGAAAGCACAGGAGACGCTGACAGAGCTTCAGGTGGAGTTTGAAGAACAGAAACAATCTAGAAACGATTTGGAGCAACTCACAAACAGCCTTAAAACAGAGCTCATGATACTGAGGTATATTTTTTGTTTGAATCCGTTCAGATTTACCTGAAAAGTGAACGACTAACGAGCACTTTTGTTTTGCAGAGCAAAGGATGAGCCCACTAACAGCTCAGCAGCAGACCAACAATCGCTGGAGAATTCCTCCTAAACGGATCAAACATTTCAATTTCATCATTTGCTGCACGGTCCAAACCCGTTTTAATGAAATCATCTTGTTTGCAATTTAATCTGTAACATGCACCGTCAAGAAACAAAGCATACAGCTTTACTGTAAATATTTTATTATGAATATACTTAAGTACACAAAAGATCAGATGTAGCACAGAAACAAACGAAACGCAGAAATTAAAACATACAAAGGACATACAAAGGACAACACGCACTCTGGAAAATTCAACTACAAAAAGCCAACAAAGGAGAACCTACAGTATGTACAGCTGTTTTCAAAATGGATCACTGTAGACTTGTTTTCGGTACAACTAACGATAAAAAAAATAATAAAATTAATCAAATTACAACCTTTAACGATAGCCCACATGTACGTCTGTGACGGTTTCTTTACAAGCCAGAGTTGATTTTGGGGGAAAAAATAACAATAATTAAAAAATTAGAGTGAAACATTTTAAATATGTCACAACACAACGACAGTGCAGTTCTTTTGCTTTCTACAAAATCCGCTGCACAGGATGGTTCTAAAAAGATTTGTTGGTTTGTAAGTGCAGCGCTCGCGCCAGGATCCATTTCATAAGCAGGTCAAGAGGAGAGAGGTGAAAATCAGCCTTATGCCTGCACCTCTGAATCCGCAGCACCCTCCGGGTCCTCGTCGTTGTAGATATTCTCAGCCTGTGGAACAAACGGTGCACATAAATTAACTCATTATTATTCTCAGGACGTGGCACATCCGTGATAAAACTCACCATTTGCCACACTTGCATGATGTTGTCCTCCGATACCGAACAGATGACCCACGGCTCGTTGGGGTTCCAGGAAAAGTCAGAGATCTTTGCTGTGTGTCCACCATGGATGAACTAAAGAGAAACAAAGCAGGAGGACATGGAACTCTCACTGGGATGTAATTGAAGCAGAACTATGGCGTCGGTTTACCATCTTCACTCACCAGCAGCTCTGGAGGACCGTCCTCAGCATCTTCTGGCGACTGCTCCTCTCCGATCTTGCTGAGATCCCAGACGTTGAGACGCCGGTCAGTGCCGCTGGAGGCAAGGATGGTTTCGTTGTGAGGAGACCACTGAACCTGTAAGGAGACGACCGATGAGCGTGTAACGTTTCTGCCACAAAGTTCCTCAAAACTATGAAACAGGCTAAAGCTGAAGACTGTGCAAAAGTACCGGTAGTTCATGTGCCCCTATATCGAGCTGACTAAGAGAAAAAACATCACTTTATTTATTCAATACTAGAGAGCTGCTATTAATACACTTACACAGATTCACTGAAGACTTTACCCACACTTGTTCAAGTCTTACCTGGAAGATCTCGTCCTTGTGAGATTCAAATGAGTGAAGTTTCAGCTTCAGGTTCCTCAGGTCCCAAAGCGCTACGGTCTGTAAATAAAAGCAGCCAGGAAATTTTAATCAGCAGAAACAAAAACGACAGCAATCAGCTGGACGGTTCTACGGAACGTGCGCCCACCTTATCAGCGGAGCCGGTGGCCAGGATGAACTCGCTGTAGGGATTAAAGGACAGGCAGTTGACCTCGGCGGTGTGAGCGTCCACTGCGTGGCTCGGTTTGGAGGTGTTGTTGGACCGTGTGTCCCAGCTGTTCCACAAACAAAAGCCACAACTGTTCAAGTAAAAGCTCAAATTCCACAGCGGTCTGGATTACATGTTTGTAGCTTCTTACATCATAAGTTTCTGGTCATCCGCCACAGATCCAAAGAGCGATTCGTGGAGCAAATGCCAGGAGACGTCCTCCACCACAGCAGTGTGGCCTGTGAAGATCGTTTTGGCATCCACAATCTTCCCCTCTTTGGGAACTGTGCTGATATCCCACAGACATATAGTCTGACAAGGACAAAAATGCAACATATTGTAAAACTACTATTTGTAACAATAGTGAATAATATACATAAAAAAAAAAAAACTTGTACGTTTGGTGATTTCTTACATGGTCATCAGAAGCACTTAGGAGGCATCCGCTGAGGTTTGGGTTCCAGGAGAGTCCGTACCCCTCTTTCTGATGGCCCCTGAGACGCAGATCTGGGGTGCATTCTCCGGATGGGTCTTAAACAAGAAGACATAAAGTTAGACACAACACTTGCTGTACACCTTTGGAAACGAAGAACATGCATTTGGCAGCATATTACCTGGTTTCGAGGGGTGTTTTGTGTAATCAAAAACCAGTACATCGCTAGTGGGAGTCTTGGTGGCGATGATGCACGGATTCTGAGGCATGTAACGAGCTCTGTTCACCTCTCCCTCGTGGTTAATCTTGATCTCAATCTCTATTTTTCCACTTACAGAACCAAAGCCTCCAAACTCTGCAACAAAAGACAACATAACATTATGCATGTGCTGTCAAAATGATTAAAACAAGATATCAGATGGTGCAATGCGTTACAACACAAGACATGCAGAATGTCCCTCACCACCTTTCTCACTGTCATAGTGAGAGGCATCAAACTGGGCATCATCATTTGGGAGCTGAACGCTGGCGATTACGAGGTGATTCTGCTCATCAGACGTGTGTGTCCCTAAAACCAGCCTGTGCACGCTGTAGTCCTTTCCCTCCGGTCTGTGGATATCGACATGACAGTTATACACACACACACACACACACACACACACGACTCCACGTCTTGTGTTTCATAATAAGGTTCAACACATTCCTATTCTCACCTGGTGACATCTGGGAGCCACTGAGCTGTGAGGCTGGGCCACTCCAGGGCATGAGTCATGACCAGATCATAGAGGAATGGGGTGTTCTTCTTCCAGATCTTGTACTCCTCATTGATCACCCTTTCCTCCACAGCATCATCAAATGCAGCTGCAGAAAAATATGCCACTTAATGTTAGAAAACACTCAAACCTATCATGATTAAGAACATACGTGTAATAGAGGCATGAAAATAGCCATAATGGAGGGCTACCATTAGTCAGGTTTGTATTTTTTACTACTGAATATGATGATTTTATTACTGCAAACGACGTCAGTTCAAAAATACATGTACTCAAAATATAAATCAACGTTGATCGGAATTCTATATTAATAAATTAAAAGTCCCGGTGTCGCCAACGCGTTAGCGGCTAACAGCTAGCATGCAGCTCTGTAACAATGAAGGGAGACGCTGGCAAAAGCGCCAACCACAACCAGTCCACCCGGACTTCAGCTATTTATTCACACTGGACGAGGAAAAAGTCCCATTTAATCATCTAATTTGGAAACTGTGGTCTGCTTACCGTCTTTATCGGTCATTGCGCCGCAGCTGATTAGCTAATTCACGCAGCAAAAAGAGGTATTTCTTGGGAGAACGCAAAGAAGACAGCGCGAAGCACTGCAATGGCGCCAACTCCGTAGAACAGCACTGGCCAATCAAAACAGCGAATCCGGCAGGAAGTCGTGACGTCAGCGTGTTACTACTTCCGGAACCGCCTCTTTGTGGTGCCTTAAATTAAACCTGGAAAATCAGAATTATCAACGTCAGTTTTAAAATGTAACACAAAGTTGTATTTATTAGTCTGTAACTTAAGGAACATTTCCTAACCAAAATGGAACTATTCCATTATAATTTCTAAAAGTCAGTTTAAATGCCACGCAAAATGATTCCTTTGTTGTTCTTAATTAAGTCAAACGCCAGACAATGTACTTTATTATATTATGGACATTTTTTACTTACTTGAATAGAAGCTTATCTTTTTCAGCTAACAGAAACATAGTAAATCTAGTACGAGTTGTTTTCTTTACTCGTTTTTCGCAGTTTGATTTGTTTTGACGTAAGTGTTGTGGAAATTAACAACGCTTGAGTTTGACATTGAACGCAGCAGTGGACTTGTCGCACATCGAAACTATGGTGTAGATAAAAACAGTCTTTTCAAACTTAAGATTAACTTTAAGCTACAATGGACGACCGTCAACTTGATCTGACAGACGAACAGAAAGCTACCAAATCAAAATACCCACCGATCAACAAAAAATATGAATGTAAGTCAGAAATAATTATTAAAACGCTGTTAGCTTAGCTGCTTTCCCTGATGCAATATCAACACAACTCCTCAACTTGAGCTTAGTGTGACTTGGGTTATAGTTAGATGGTTTGATTATTTGATTATTTACCATAAAGTTAAGCATCTTAATTAAGTTTCATAGATAATCTTCGTAATTACCTCAATTATTTAATGGATCCACAAGATTCAATTAACCAATCATGTCAACTTGTGTTTTATTTCAGACTTGGACCACACAGCAGATGTACAGTAAGTATGACTTACCTTTGTTAGATTCTGTAATATTTATCTAATGTTTAGTGCTCACTTAGATTATTTTATGTACTTTATCTTACCAGAATTCACTCCTGGGGACACTCCTTGGAGGAAGCCTTCGAGCAGTGTGCAATGGGGATGTTTGGCTACATGACGGATACAGAGACGGTGGAACCACTCGATACTGTTGAAGTGGAATCAGAGGGTGAGAATGCAACATAAACCATGGTCATACGTACATTTCTCTATGCCTGACCATTAACCTCAGAGAATGCAATTAAGGATGATATGTGGTCAGCACTAATGTAAAAATATGAGACGCAAAGCCTCCAAGCAGGTTGTTGAACAAAAAGATCAAAACGCCAACTGGGTTGATAATTCTGTGAGTATGCAGCCCCTTACCATGTAAAGCACAGTCCTATTTAACCAGTATTAATTGTTTTTAATTATTTGTTCAACAGGAGCTCTTCAGTGACCATAAATTTGTTTTACTTGTGCATTAGACTGCCATGAACCTGCTCATGCTTGGTTTGCTGTTCATCCCTGGACCACTTTTGGTGCTGTCTAACCCCTGGCTACCAGGAACAGCCCACAGTTGTGCAGTTTTGTAGCCACTACCATGTCAATAACACAGATTTGTTTATTTAAGGATCCCCATTAGTTTCTACCATAGCAGAGACTATTCTTCCTGGGGTCCACACCCAAAACATTGCAATTAAATCATGCTTTTACAAACATATGAAAAGACATAATAAAATACCTAAGATAAAAACTAATTCACAATATAAAAATTCAAATCAACCATCTCAAAAACAAAATTTTTACAAGCATTACAAAATGACAAAATACTTTAAAACACACATGAATTAAAAACACAAACATGCACCAATTCCAAAGTTAACAAACTTTTTTAATTTCCATTGTAAATTTATAATTTTGTCAATTCAGTTTTATTTCATTATCTATTAGTTTTTTTTTTTTTTTAAAGATTCTTTTTAAAATTAACATGACCAGCAATTAATGTAATTACAGAAATTGCTCGATACAGAGCTGTTCTTTTGAAAGCATTAGTCCTAGACAGAGGTAATATAAAAGTAACAGCAGGGGCTCGTCTAGTGTTAAAAGCATGTTTATTGCAGGTGGGTAACAACTGGGAGAAAAGGCTAAACGGTTTATGTGAAGTCCAAATTTTGTGTAAAGAGGGGAGAAGGCTGCATGCTAGTCTGTCACGAACTTTCATCCGTGCCAGGCATCGATGCGTGAAATCAACGTTTGTTCTAAAATGACATTGAGCCTTGCAGCTTTATTTTGAAATATCTGCAGTTTATCCAGATGTTTTTTGAAGCACTTGACCAAACGACTGAACGATATTGAAGTTGACAAAGAACTAAAGACTGTATTACTAATTTTCTTATTTCCAGAGACATAAAATGTGCATTACGCCAGATTATAGCAACGTTTCTGCTCATCTTAGTCACAATCTTATTAGACCATGAACAAGTTTTGTCTATTATGACTCCCAGTGGCTTAGCCTCTTCAACTTGTTCTATTGATTGTTTTTGTACAAAGATTTGCAACTTTTGAGTTTGTCTTACAAAATATTTAGAACCCACTTTGTTTTTGAAACATTCAGTGTTAACTTGTTGTCCATTACCCGCTCAGAAATAGACAGTAGCACTTGTTGTAATACCATATTTACTTCATCCAAGCTATCAGAAGACACGTAAATAGTTGTATCATCAGCATATATACTGGTACATACCGTTTTAAAATCTGTACAACTAATTGCATTTAATTATTTTTCCTCAAAAGGTGATGATATGGAGTCTCTCCTTTTCCACTTTTTAGACGATTGGTTATACAAGTTTAGTGCCGATCTGTTCTTTGTCCCGAGGGTGAGTATGTGTAGTCTTTATTTCTTTGTTTTCAGGCTGTTCACGTATGCTAACATATGTTGGCTGATATCGGTCACAAGTAAAACGCTCTAAGAAGTAAAGTCCTTCAAAAGGCTTGCTTTAAATGCAATCAATCTGATTTTGCTGTCTTTGATATAATCAGGAAAGGAAATAGTAAAATGATGCAGCTTTTCCCAGACAATATAATGTTCAGCATATGCAACTGTTACAATCAGGTTAGGTTACAAACAGTTATTTTTGATCAGTAAAACCCTTAAAAAGTGTTTTTATTGTCTATGTTTACCCCATCTAATTACTAATTTAGATATATGACATTATAGAGATGCTTCACATTGCAAATTCCACAAATTCTATTTAAGGAACTCCTTAATTGGGTTAACCATTCACTCCCAAACAATATGGCCACAAACTCTTATAGAAAGATGAAGGGATAGATGCATGAATACATAGCTAGAGAGACGGAAAACACTAAAGTGACATATGACATTTTATGGCTATTCAGTAAATATTTAAGCTGTGTCAGATGAGCTGTCGTGAAGTGAAAGTGTAAAAGGCATGAAGTGCTCTTTATGACACTAACACTGAATACATCTGTTGGAGAACGACCTCTGTCGTTTCCAAGTTCAGACCATCGATTTTTCCAAATTGAATGATTTGTTCATGACAGAATCACTGGCACCCATGCTCCACAGAACATGAACTTTAATACCACACATCAGTTTTTATGTATTTTGTGTTTAAAGCCTGTGCTGTTTTTGTTTATTAGGAAGTCAAAGTTTTATCCCTTGACAGAATGCATTTCAAGATTCGCTCGATTGGGTAAGTTTGGCCCCCCTTTTTACAAACTTACAGTGAATATATCTTTTTGCTCAACCAGATTTGCCTTCTTATGGCTGGAGCTTTAATGATTAACATGTGGGTCCTTTTAATGAGTTGTTTTGTTGTTGTTTAAGACCATCTCATGGGTTTGTACTGTTTGTAATTATATGCATTTACGGGTGACTGCTGAAATACATTGCATCTTAATGACAGCACATGTGTGAAGAATAGTCAAAGATTTCATATTTATAATAACGTAGAACTCCTGTTTTCTGCCGTCTTTAAAAAGATGGGGTGAAGAATTTTCTTTGGCAAAGCATCCACAGGTAGGCCAGTCCACAGAACTGTATTTATACCAAAAAAAATCTGAAAAAGATGTGGATTATTGAAGCCTTTTTTTTGTCACGTGTTGTCTTTTAAGGGAACTGAGGTGAAAGCCATCACATACTCCGCCATGCAGATCTATGATAAAGAAAAACCAGAAATATTTGCCATCATTGATATTTGAGGACACCGGTGGAGACGGGTCACAGTCCTGGTTCATTGAAAATGTAAATGTTTACAGCCTTGTCAAGTGGCCTTTTTATTTCAGGCACTGATTATTAACTAGGAATATCTGTTTTACAGTTAGTGAACCTTTTACTAACTCTCTGAAAGTTATTTTAAAGAATTTGAAACGTCACCAACGTGTCATCTTGGAAATCAGAGGAATATCGAATGTAAACAAACCAAAAGCAACGATACACTGGAAGTACATTTCCTGTAATAACCAAGATGTTTATTTAGCCGTTCTTTTAATAAATCAGATTTAGAACGATGAGTTTTATTATATTTGTCAACAGTAATAATACTTTGTTATTCTAATTTATGATACAAATGCTTTGAGGTTTAATTAAATAATTTTTGGTGCTTTAAAATAAAGTCTACATTTTGAATAATATGTAAAAGTGTTGTCAATTTTGTGAAATGATTCCAATTTTTTTATTAAATTTAGACAGTAATGGAAATAGCTACAAGTGTGAAGTGCCTCCCACTGATGGAAATGATTATTAAATGTGGTTCAAAAGAGCAGACGTTTCTTTAAATCAGCGCTAACATCTCTGTACCATTCGGTAGGTTGCAAAGCGCCCTTGTTGTGAATATTTTATCTCTTTTGCCCAGTGAAATTCACATTGTCACTGTGTTGCTCAAATTATCAAGTTATTGCAACTTCAAAACACCTTAGGTTACTCAGCAACTGAAGCTTATATTTCCCATAAGCCTGTACTAAAACTTTGTCATTAAGAGTTGATTTATTATTATTATTTTATTTAGCACGTTTCAAGCACAGGAATTTTTTCGGTTTTCCTGATATCCGGCTACGTGTGTACAGGGTCTTAGAGTTATCAATGCAAGTTTTTAGTCTGTGGGAGGAAACCGGAGTACCTGGAGAAAACCCACGCATACACAGAGAGAACATGCAAACTCCACCCAGAAGGTCCCTGGCCAGGATTTGAACCGGCGACCTCGCTGAGAGGGGATAGCTCTACCGATTGCGCCACAGTGCTGCTAATTATGGTCCGTGAAGTATAATTATAAGATACTGTCTTGTAATTATTCCATGTTAAGTCATAGTTTTGAGATAATATTTAGTGATGCGAAGTCACAACTAAGATAGTTTCTCCTAATTATGACTTTTTTTTTTTATCAAAGCGGCACAAATGGTCTTTCATACATATTATTTGGAAGAAGAAGAAAAAAACGTTTCAATAAAGAAAGAAAAAGAAAACTGTTGAGGTTCAAGATTATAATGTCTGCATTCAGTGTTCTTAAATTTCACCTCATCTTGGGCCCGGAAGTGACGTAACTTCCCTCGCGGTCTGAAATGCTCCTGCGCCATCCTTCCTTTGTCTGCCAAGCAGAGCACAGCCATCGACGTGGAGGAAGGCGCCGGCCGGGATCGCTGCTCCGTATTCGGTCACTGTCGCTGCTTTGTCCATCAATTATTATTATTTTTGCTTAAACAACAACGCTGGAGTAAAATATCGCTCGTAGAACCAATCGCCACAGCTAGTTTCGAGTAAATTGAGTGCTAAAACAGGAGCAACTCTTGAGTCCGCCATAGTCGAGCTCGGCAACAGAAAATCAAAATGGAAGACACCAAGTACCTCCCGGAGCTGCTGGCTGAGAAGGACAGCCTGGATTCATCGTTCACACACGCCATGAAGCTTATCGCGGCAGGTAAAGTGGATTTTTGATGATTTATTAGGCCAATACCAACGAGTTTTGCTGCTTTTGTTGTGGCCTAGTTTTTTTTTTCATGGCGGACTGAACAGGCCTGAACAATGGCGCGCAAGCACGTGGTTGATGAAGTGGGTGAAGCCCCTCATGAATTTTTGTTTTATTTTGATGTATATCCGGCTTGACTAATTTGGCATTTTGCAGT